AGTGCGGATTTAGCGATCCGCACTCACGGGGGCAACTTGGCTATTAGTATATAGATAAGAGAAGCCAGTGTTATATCAGGCCAGTGGCCCATCCAGTCCAACACTCTGTGTCACACAGTGGCCAGAAATACCAGTTGCCACCAGGAGGTCCAGCAGTGGGGCCAGGAGGACACTAGAAGCCCTCCCACTGTTGCTCCCCCCCCCCCAAGCACCAAGGATACAGAGCATCCTTTGCCCCAGACCAAGAGTTCCTGTCTGTACCTTGTGGCTAAGAGCCACTGATGGACCTCTGCTCCAGATGTTTATACAGTTCCCTCTTATAAGAACATAAGAGAAGCCAGTGTTGGATCAGGCCAATGGCCCATCCAGTCCAACACTCTGTGTCACACAGTGGCCAGAAATACCAGGTGCCACCAGGAGGTCCAGCAGTGGGGCCAGGAGGACACTAGAAGCCCTCCCACTGTTGCCCCCCCCCCAAGCACCAAGGATACAGAGCATCACTGCCTCAGACATAAGAACATAAGAGAAGCCAATGTTGGATCAGGCCATATAGCATGGGAGGTGGCTCTTCAAGAAACATAAACCAAAAGCATATTACTCACTGCATGGTTCTTCCTAATTCCCAAGTCTTCCTGGGTACCACAGTCTTCAGAGTCCATCTCTAGCCATCTCTAGCTGGCGTAGTTACATAGTTTCAATGGAGAACCCAGTCAACTGAACTAATGAATTCAAAGGTGCTGACTGTGTGTCAATGGTCACCACTTTAATCTTTCGTGATTTATAGACACTAATGTAATGCTGTTCATTGGTTAATAATAAGCTTATTCTGAGCTTTCCGATTTCTCATAGCCTGCTGACTGTTTGTCTTGCATTTTAGAAGTTTTTGTGAAAGACAAGAAAGAAAATGAAGATGAGACATGGTCTGCTTATGATGAGCACAAAGCTTTGTATGTTCTTCAACACTGGGATGAAATGCCAGAATATGGGTACAAATTAGTACCAGAACATGTGGAAGTTCGATCTCTTTACAGTCCAGAGAGCCCTGGTCTCCTGCAGGTAACATCAGAACATTGGTTTGCTTATTCTCCAACTGTATTTCGAAAGCTATCTGTTACACAAGAATTTGTTTTTTCTTAATCGTATGAACTGCTGTACTGCTAAATTTGTTTAGGGTAAAATGAAATGACAGTTGCTTTAGTACAACCATCTTAGTATGAGTTGATGCCGATCATAGCCCTTTCCCTCACCAGATCCAGGGCAGTAGAGGATCCTGTTCATTACACAGTGCAGAATTAGAAAGGGAAGTGTTATTAGAGGTAGGATTTGGGAACCGGACTAGGCCCTCATACTAGTCTAAAGGCTTTTAGGTTAATCTACAGCTTTTTGGATATGGTCACCATGCATTTCCACACGACGATGAATCTGTATGTTAACATATAAAATTGTGTGGCAAGTCTTCATATGGCATGTGAATATGTGGCATTGATACTGAAAATTGTTATTTATTTGGGGTGAACCCTACAAATCATGGCCACTGTGTGGAGCTGGTGACACTACAAAATATTTCAAGTGGCTTCAGTATGGTTGCAATGTCAGATTTTGCCCTCATGAGTCAACTTCCTCCGTGTCTGGTATAAAATATTTACTTTAGGGATTGCATTTGAGAGGCAGCGTAGTGTTTCAAAGTGTCCCTTTTGCATATTATTATAAGCTGCTGTATTTTTCACCACAGCTAGACGTATCTATAGGTCTCTTAAATACAGTTTCATAGTTTCACAACTGTGGCACACCATGTTCTGCCAAGTGGTGCCTTGAAGCTGCTAATCCTTTTCATTGCTCTGGGTCTCCTGCATTGATGTTTCAAGCTCCACATTATAAGGTTTAAAAATGATTTAGCCATCATCATTCATGCCTTAGTGACCTCTAGATTAGAATTCTGTTGCACTGTCCATGAAGATAGTTTAGAAGTAGCAGCTGGGCAGATATGAACTGGTAAAGTCCCACCACATGAGTACTGAAACACCTGCACTTCATCTTCCTGGGTCGAAAGCAAGGTGCTGGCTCCACAGGCCTAATTGTCTGGGGCCTGTGCTCATCAAGCAGTGCCTTGAGTGATATCACTTCTTTCCAGAGGGAGGATTGAATTTCATTACCTTAAGGACTTAGTGATGCACAGCCAGAAATGCCTTCTTATTTCCTGCTCTATGTAGCAAAGGTAAAATAAATGTGCTACATGAATTTGAATGTCAAAATGGGGGGGAAATAGTGCAAACAAATATTTATGAAAAGGCCCTGGTGCTTTTTGAATTGTATACAAAGGCAGACCCTGATCCAACATAACAAAGAGTTTACATCTTTAGAGTGTGTTCCTCTTCTGAGGCTTGAATCAAATGTAGATTGTTTCATTAAAAATTGTTTCCACCATTTTTCGTTCCTCCCCTTCCCTTTTGTTGTGTCATCATACTTCCAGGGCTCTCTCCACATGTGGATTGACATGTTTCCAAATGATGTCCCTGCCCCACCCCCTGTCAACATCAAACCACGATTGCCAGTCAGGTAAGAGCTTCTGTGAACAGGAATGGGGGATCATTTCTACTTATAGAACATTTCATTTATATACTATGCATTGTTCAGGGCTTTTATTCATTTTATTTTATTTATGTAATTAGTTAATTAATTCATTTCTACCCTGCCTTTCTCCCCAATGGGGACCCAGGGCAGCTCACATCATTCGCCTCTCTTCCATTTTATCCTCACAACAGCCCTGTGAGGTAGGTTGGGCTGAGAACATGTGACAGGCCCCAGGTCACCAATGAGCTTCCATGGCCTGAGTGGGAATTTGAACCCAGGTCTCCTAGATACTAGTCCGCCGCTCTTAAACACTGCACCACATTGACTCTTTGTATCTGCTTTACTTACCTCCTATATCATGCGGGAATTGCTATATATGTGGTAGAGTAACATTACAGTGCAAATTATATCACCTCAAAGAACAGCAGTTTTTCTCTATTCTTCTTGATGTGCTAAAAAAGTATTTGGATGGCAATCCCATTGACATTGGTCCTTTCCACACTTGGATCTCATCCCTGGTTTTATCAGAGTTCAACTCGTGACACAATACCTTGCATTTATCCCTGGTTATAACAGCATCCATTTATCCCAGGACAAGTGTGGGGCGAAACCGGGGTAACCTCAATGAATGTGAAAACAAAAAATACCCCGAGATAATTACAGGGGTGAACCCGAGTGTAGTGTAGAATGTAAAAACACCCCGAGATAATTACAGGGGTGAACTCGTGTGTAGTGTAGAATGTAAGTTGAACCAGGATTTAAGGTCTAGTGTGGAAAGTGTTGCTCAAAATGAGGTATTTGCTATTGTGGTTGTTCTTTCTTTGTTTTGCTCTTATTTGGGGCAGATTTGCAAACTCATCCCCAACAGAACGATGTTGAAAAATTAAGGGAAAATTAAGGGAAATACTATAATGTTTAATTATAGTATGTTCCTTTGTTCTTTCCTACAGTCACTGTTTGTGTATGTTGAATCTTCGACGTGGTCTCTGTGCTTCACACCCATGGGTTACAGTGCGCATGCGCTGGATCGATGGGCATTGTAGCAGGCTCTTAACGGATTTTTGCGCCCAGACCTCAGGCATGCCCAGGAACCCCACCACGCATGCCCAGAGGGGTGGGCGCGGACATCCTGCCAGTTCCTTTCTTTCCGCCGCGCTGGAAGCATCTTCCTTTAGTCAGTCTGATCGGTATTTGCTATTGTGGTTGTTCTTTCTTTGTTTTGATCTTATTTTGGGCAGATTTGCAAACTCATCCCCAACAGAACGATGTTGAAAAATTAAGGGAAAATTAAGGGAAATACTATAATGTTTAATTATAGTATGTTCCTTTGTTCTTTCCTACAGTCACTGTTTGTGTATGTTGATTGACATGGCAGGTGGATCCTGTGGCCCATGGCCTCTCAGTCGCTTGAGGGTGCCCCTTGTTTGCTTGTTAAAATTTTTGTACAAGGATTACAAAAAAGATACTGTGTTTTAATCTAGCTCTTGTCCTTTTCCATTTTATTTCTAGTTATGAGCTACGAGTCATTATCTGGAATACGGACGATGTGGTCCTTGATGATGTCAACCCAATAACAGGAGAAACATCCAGTGACATTTACGTGAAAAGGTGCCATCAGTAGATAGGCAGGAATGGAAACACTTCCAAAGGAGGACAGGTTGTGCTTACAATATAAGGATTGCCCTGCTGGGTTAGACTCAGGGTTGTCAGCTCCCAGGAGGAGCCTGGGGGTCTCTTGGAATTACAGCTGACCTCCAGACTACAGAGACCAGATCCCCTGGAGGGAGTGGGAGCTTCAGAGGGTGGACTTCACAGAATTACATCCCTGATAAGCTCCCTCCATGATGCTGGTCGTTCTGGGAATGTGCTCCCAGCTGGTTTTCCCCCTTTGAAATGCGGGTCCTTCGAGCCCTGATTTGGATCAGGACCACAGCATGAGGGAGGCGGGCTGACTCAAAACAGTTCTGTGGAACCACTGCTTACCTTGTTGGGGTAAATATGCAGAACCTTTTATTGGTCCTTCATGGTTGCCCCAAAGAGATGTAAATAGCAGTCCTGTAGGGCTGTGTCAGGTTGGAGAGGTGATACAAGAGAGGGGAAGGCTTAAGCCCATCTCCCTTCTCTTATACTATGATCCCAGTCTGAATTGGGACCCTGTGTGCCTACGTTTTAAATGAAGAAGCTGCTTGGGGGGGTCATTTGCCACACTCACAACATCAGATGTAGTGTGGGCCTGCTTACCAACAAAATAGAGATGAAAGCCTGAACTGAAGACACAAAGAAACCTGTCTGAGTCATAAGAACAGCTGAGTTACTTTAGTGATTGTCCTGCTGCTTGGGCAATGATTGACTGAGGAGAAGTCGAACATTAAAAAAAAAAGAACCCATAAACATGCTGTTGACTAAAGATGCAGTGTTTATATCAAAATGTCTTGTAAGTAAGTCTGAGGCCCCTTTAAAAGTAGTGATGCTCAAACACTCACTGGTTTTGCTCACATTCTGTTCACCAGTTCTGAACAGGGAGCCAGGTTTTTTACCCATTTGTGGCTGTTTGGCAGGTTGCTTCACCCTGTTCTCTCTTAACTGTGCAGTTCAGCACAACTGGCTTTTTGTGCATGCATGTTCTCACACAACCCAAGTGAGTTTTATTCTCTGTCCTCACTGTGCTGCTGCTCTGCTCAGCAGGTGGTTGTTTAAATTGAGAGTTAAATTGGTCACAAATCATATAAATCAGTCATAACTAAGTACTGTGTAGCTTATTATTCATTGTTGCCTGTTAGCAATGTTTACGGATGCCAGTCTGAACTGGTAGTTTTTTGAGGTATGTGCAGCTTGGCAGGCATTCAAATAATTCAGTGCCAAACTGAACAGACTGGTAACTTGCCAACATCTGATTGTCACAGTCAAACATGGTAAGTTTGACTTCCCGTGTGTTTTGATGTGAAATTCAGGACATCCGTAATTATGAGGACCTCTTCCTCATTACACATTTGCACATCCATACATTTTGTAATATAAAAATGGCAGCATAAGTGCCTTTTGTAGGATACGTGGAAACTGATCTTAAATTCTACTTCTGGCAATATGTTTTGGGGAAAGAAAAATAGACTTTCATAGCCATTCTGAAGATCAAATACTGGAGTTCCATGGCCTCCAATGCTCCCTTTAAGCTGTGGACTCTTGTGAGCAAAAATTCTACTTTGTAAGCTACTGACATTAAAGTTGTGAGCAAGTGATTTGGCTGCTGCATAAATTAGTTTGCTCTGGAGCCATCCTTCCTGAGCTAAGACAAAAGTCTGTGAACTGGAGGCTAAAAAACTGTGAGCTAGCTCACACTAACTCAGCTTAGAGGGAACACTGATGGCCTTTATTTAAGATGTGTGATTTGACCCTAAAAAGCAGCCATAGGGGGCTGGGGTGATTATATAGATTGGAGTAATGGTGCTGGTGAAGGAAGAGGGTTAAGTCTTCCTCCCCCTTGTCTTGTTTCCCTAACTGTAAATGGGCTGGCTTTCCAGCAAGGGAACCTTTACCTTTACTAAATGGGCCCTGAGGGCTGGTTGTAGCCACCATAAAGGAAATGAAAAGTATCCCTATTGTCCCCATCTCCTTTTCCATAGGGCTAACTCAACCCAGGGGCTTCATTGAGTGGGTTCCATTTTCACTGAGGAAACAGCAGGTGGCACAGAGTTAGACCTTTTCGCCAGCCTTAATTCAGATTACACACACCCCTTAGCTGTTTTTTAGAGCCAAATTACATCTCTGGAATTCCGGTTACAGAACTCCGATGTCACATATAGTTTGACACTCAGCCCTCATTATCTTTAGCCATATGTTCAAGGCATTGATAAATGATTCTTGTACAGTTGGATCAAAGGGCTGGAGAAAGACAAGCAAGAAACAGATGTTCACTTTAACTCTCTGACTGGGGAAGGCAACTTCAACTGGAGATTCGTGTTTCGCTTTGATTACCTGCCGACAGAGAAAGAGATAACTTATAAGAAAAAGGACTCCATCTTCTCCCTGGAGGAATCCGAATTCCGGGAGCCAGCAGTCCTGGTCCTGCAGGTCTGGGACTATGACAGGATTTCAGCAAATGACTTTTTAGGTACTTTAATGCTTACTGTGTTTCTTTCATTGTGTTTTATAGTCTACATCACTTATGGTATATGTTTATGGTTTGCTACCTTGTGAACCATGTAGGGTTGCCAGCTGTGGGTTTGGAAAGACTTGGGTTCCCTTCTTCCAGTAGCTGATGTAGCAATAAAAAGATGAAGGAAGAAACTGAGCTGAAATCTGGACTTTGCAACCACTAGATGGTGCAGCTGCTAGTTGCCTGCCCACTCCCTGAATGAAATGCCACAGGTTGTGGATTAAGCTGGGACTTCGTAAGCTGATCTGCATAACATAGGGTGATTTCCCACAAGCGCTGCTCTGCACTCACTCTTCTCTTTGGCCCGATGGTACATGTCAATTTCACACAAGCTGCTGTGCGGCCACATTTTGCCCCGCAGCTTCGCGCAATTCCCCCCATGTCTACTCAATGATTTCCCACAAGCGTTGCTCCGTGCTCGTTCCTCCCTTTGCCCCATCGTACGTGTCAATTTCACACCATGTGCTGCGCAGCCGCATTTTGCTCCGCAGCTTTTTCCGATTTCCCCCGCGTCTACTCAAGCCTGTGGCTGATTTCGCACTAGAGCTGCCTCGATGTTGCGCTGCTATTTGCCCCGATACTATTGGTCAATTTCACACCCGAAGATGCGGGGCTGCCTTTTGACTCGCGGCTTCACCCAATTTCCCCCGCATTTTGTGATCCTGTTTTTTGAGGGTCACAAAACTGCGGAGGAAATCGGGCGAAGCCACGGGTCAAATGCAGCCCCGCGGCTTCGGGTGTGAAATTGACCAATAGTATCGGGGCAAATGGTGGCGCAACATTCGAGGCAGCTCTAGTGCAAAATCAGCCTGTTTTTTGAGGATTGAATAGACACGGGGAAAATTGGGCAAAGCTGCGGTGCAAAATGCGGCCCGCAGCACATGGTGTGAAATTGACACGTACGATCGGGGCAAAGGGAGGAACGAGCATGGAGCAGCAGCTTGTGGGAAATCAGCCAATCCTGTTTTTTTGAGGATTGAGTAGACGTGGGGAAAATCGCGTGAAGCTGCGGGGCAAAATGCGGCGCACAGCAGCTTGTGTGAAATTGACACGTACCATCAGGGCAAAAGGGAGGAGTGAGCGCGGAGCAGCGCTTGTGGGAAATTACCCTTAGTTAACACATTAAAGCTTGGGTTGCCTCTGGCTTGGGTGCAGCTGCTAGTTTTTCTTATTTGCTTTGAGCAGCAATGAAAGGAAGTAGGATGTTGCTATTAGAATCACCCACAGTTCCTGGATGATGCCTTGAACCTGCTATTTGACTCCTGCTCTGTTCTGCCCCGACTCCTACCCAGTCTGTTTCCCCCCTGCCTCTTTGCCTGGTCTAGCTGTGCCATGAATTAACTTCTTGCCATATTAATTAATTGCTGTGCTTTGGTGTATACAAAACATTTCCATCTGGTCAGATTGGCAATAGCTGTAATAGCTTTCTTACCTTCAGTGTGTAGCTTGGCTAATTTAATAAATTAAGAACATAAGAGCCCTGTTAGATCAGACCAGTGGTCCATCTAGTCCAGCATCCTGTCTCACACAATGGCCAATCAGTTCTTCTGGAGAGCCAACAACAGGGAATAGAGGCCAAGGCTTTCACTGGATGCTGCCTCCTGGCTCTGAAATTCAGAGGAATAGTGCCTCCGAACATGGAGGTTCCCTTCAGTCACCATGGCTAGTGGCCACTGATGGCTAGAAGCCACTGATTATCTCATTTAGCCCTGTAAGCTCTCTTCTGCATGCATCTGATCTCTGATTAAGTACTGATTTGGGGTGGGGGGGGTAGGGGTGGTTGGTAGGACTGCCAAAAGGTGGCCGACCACAGGAACAATAATTCTGGGGGACCCTGACCACTTTGGGAGTCATTGTGCATTTTGTTTTTGTATAATAATTGGAGTAGATATAGGTGGTGTGGAGAAGCAGAGGGATAATTGTCTGAAGGCCCGTGGTAGGTTTTGGTGGCCTTGGTGTGTTTTTGTGGAGATGGGTTCTGTCTTGCAGGGTCCGGGATTTCAGTTAGGTGACATTATAGTCCATGTTAATTTAGTGATTTCTACAGTTATGCTTCTGTCTGGTTTCTGTAAACTGTCTCATATAACGTGGACAAAATTACATGGATGAAAAAGCCAGTTCCATCCCTTTGGGAATAGTCCTGTGCAAATGATCTGAGGCTCTTCCTTGTTTTGTTGTGTTTCAAGGGGCCATCGAATTAAAACTGAACGATATGGTAAGAGCTGCCAAGAGTTCAGAGCAGTGCACCATCAAGATGGCCAAGGAGAAGGCCATGCCCCGATTCTCCATCTTTCGAAACAAGCGGATGAGAGGCTGGTGGCCCTTCATCAAACTGAAAGGTCAGGAAGATATTGAGAGGGAAGAGAGAGAAGCTAAACAGAAGAAGAAGAAAAAGAAGAAGAACAAGTGGAGGAGATCAGTAAATCCAGAAGATGTTGAGTTTTCAGACCCCAGTGGAAACATCTTTATCCTAACAGTAAGAAGAAAGGGAGCTACAGGAAATAGATATGTAAAGTCTTGAGGGTATATGCATAGATATGCATGTGCATGCTCCCACAAAGGGGTCTTATTCTGTGGCTTCCTATTCTCTCAGGACAAACAACAAGTGACGGCAGAGTTCTGTGATTAGAATCTCTCAGCAGATTTTTTTTAAGAGTGCATGTTTCTTTCCTTACCATGCTTCTCCCATGATTTAAATAGCTCATTTGAAGCTGCAATTAGTTCCATGAGAAGAAAGAGACAAGTACTCATCTCAGGTACTAATCAGCTTTTTCAAGAGAAAGCAAAGATTCTAACCATGGAATTCTCAGAGCATGGAGTCTGGCCCTTCGGGTTACCTAAAAGAATACCTTCTCTCTTACTAACTCCGCATGCTCTGAACCCCTCTTTGCCATCAGCCTGACCACAAACGGTAAGGAGCAGGGGACCCTCTTTTGGACTTCCCACCAGAGTTCCCTCTAAGCTGAGTTCGTGTGAGCTAGCTCACAGTTTTTTAGCCTCTGGCTCACACATTTTTGTCTCAACTTGGGGAGGATGGCTCCAGAGCAAGCTAATTTATGCAGCAGCCAAATCGCTTGCTCACAACTTTAATGCCAGTAGCTCACAAAGTAGAATTTTTGCTCACAAGACTCCACAGCTTAGAGGGAACATTGCTTCCCACCCAGGACAAAGTTCACTGTTCTCACTTTTCTCACTAGTCAACATATTTTTATTCCAAGTTCCAGCCAACACATGTAGGATGGGGCAGGCTGTTATTTTTTTTTTATAAAGTCTGCTGTGTCCTTTTAAAAAATCTTGAACATGTTGCAAAAATTGATTTGACTCTGAAGTTGCTTTAAAGTAATCATGTGACTGTTTTTAGTGGTTTTATTATTAGATCTGGTAAACTGCCATTAGGAGCTCATTTAGCCATGCGGCACAATATAAATACAAAAGAAGTTTCTTGGAAGAAGAACCATAGTGTGGTGTAGAGACGTGCTGGTAGTCTCATATAGGTTGGGTGAGCATTAGATGTGCATCTGACCTGTGGGATCTATACTACTCTGAGGGCCTTAGACAATGTCAGTGTAATGGAAGCATCTTTATTTTGATGCACCATATTATTAAATAGGAACATATCACTATGGCCTTATAATATAAGCAGTTGCATAGCAGCTTCTAGTTTCCTGGAGAATGTTGCTTCTTTTGAGTAGTCTAAGATGTCCAGATAAAAGTTGACCTGAAATGGCTATTTCCTACTGGGCTTTGCTAAAATGTGTTTTGCCCAAGCAGAAGACATGTGTGAGAAAATAAGAGAAGAGGGAAAATGTAATCTTGCCCTGACATAAAATACAGGAGGAACAGTGAATAGTTAGGAAGTCACAGGCCAGCCTTTCAGGAGACCATGCTATTGACCTGCTATGAGACCATCGGTCTGAGAAGAAAGGTGAATCCTGTAACTCTTCTGAAGGTAGATTCCACATGTCAGTGTGTTGTTCAGCCAAAAGAAAGAGCAGAAAATTTCCTTTTTCTTGGTAAGGGAATTTAACTCTTTTATATGGATCTATCTAGTTTACTTTAACATTGCAATGCAGTGAGTGAAAGTCTCTAAAGTAGGGTTTAGGGAAGATTAATCTATCCTCCATTCATTTGCACAAGTCAAATCAGCGCTTTCTTTAGAAAGGACATTTTTGCACTGTATCAGATTATAATGTTTCTCTCCAGGGAAAAGTGGAAGCTGAATTCCAGCTATTGACTGTAGAGGAGGCTGAGAAGAGCCCAGTTGGTCTCGGTCGCAAAGAGCCCGAACCCCTGGATAAACCCAAGTAAGTATCTGTAGATTTATGTAAATAGTTTTGGAACTGGCCAGGCTGCGGTTCCAAGTTCTTGTTTTCCTGAAGACTAGCGGATTCAGGCTCCCTCAAGCTTGGATGCATGAAGGTTGATCCAGAGAAGAAAAAGAAGAAGAGATTGGATTTATACCCCGCCCTTCACTACCCAAAAGTGTCTCAAAGCAGCTTACAAACTCCTTTCCTTTCCCCTCCCCACAACAGACACCCTGTGAGGTAGGTGGGGCTGAGAGAGCTCTTGACAGAAACTGCTCTTTTTCAAGAACAGCTCATTATCAGAACTACGGCTTGCCCAAGGTCATCCAGCCAGGTGCAAGTGAAGGAGTGGGGAATCAAACCCGGTTCTCCCAGATTAGAGTCCACACACTTAACCACTACTCCAAACTGACAGGGATAGTCTTATGGGAGCAGACTAGAGACAGACAGATGCTTTGAGGCTTTGCTATATGCTGTTCTCTACTTGGGTTGTCTTGTATTAATCATGAGGTTTGGCATTTAGTTGTTTTCTGCTGGTGGGTGGCCATCAATGCACTTTTGATTGCAATGCAACTTTGCTGTTATACTTCAGTCTGAACCCACCCTGAGGTTGTTTCCCCCTTCCTTCCTCTGCAGCCGTCCAAAAACATCCTTCAACTGGTTTGTGAACCCCTTGAAAACATTCATCTTCTTCATTTGGAAGAGGTACAAAAAGTACATAATCGCATTGCTAATTATTGCTATTTTGACCATATTCTTGGTTCTAATTCTCTACACAATGCCTGGATACATCAGTGAGAAGATCATAAATGGCTAAGTGAATTCTTTCTGTTTCCAAGCTGGGACTTGACAGTGGAAGATAAGAATGATGCATATATCAAAGAAACTGAGAAACATTTTGTAACTAGCTGATGGTGCCTGGAGCACTTTGAAAAAAAGTAACTAATCAAGGAAAGAAGAAACTATACAAATCTGAACAATCAAACTGCCCATTCACATCTGTGATGTGATTACTATAGTCTTGCAAGGTCCTTTAGCATTATTAGGTCAAAGACTTGCCTGCCATTAGTCCTGAAGATCATATTCCACTTGAATGGAACTGGCTGTGTAGGTTCTTGCTGTTAAAATAACCGCCTGTCACTTGGAAATAGAAACACTGCCATATGGAAAAGGATTGACTCTTCTGCTTGACTTGACTGCTGATTGGATCCTAACCAAATTTTCCAGAACAGAACTTTCCTGCCCCCATCCCACTGCGGCCCACTGAACTTGATGAAATGCAGCTTCTGGGGGACAGAAGAAGAGAACTTTCCTGCCCCCATCCCACTGCTGCCCACTGAACTTGACGAAATGAAGCTTCTGGGGGACAGGGGATCTTGAGAAACGTCAAGGGGTGTGTGTGGGGAGTCTCAAGCAGGAAAAGAGAATATGTGGAAATTATCAATTTAGCCTGGCTCCAACCCACTGTCTGTATTTAAAGAATGCATCACATCCGCAAAATCATGTCTGGTATTAAAAAAATGTTTATAAAATTGAACTCCACATGGCCAAAGACCAACATATGCAGGAAGACAGTGATAAGACAGCAAGATAATTTTTTTTAAAATAAGCAGAAATAATTTTCAAACCATTTTGTTTCCCAAAACAATTGTCTGTGCAAGCTAAAATACTCTGTATGCTTTACCAACACTGTGCATAAGTGATAGGGCATGATTTGGTTTTTGCTATTCCTGTAGATGCCTGTCTTGGTATATTTGATGGCGGCCCTGGAACATGAAGGCTCATATGCACTTTTTAAATAAATGACACTGCCACATGTAAATCATAGTTCTTTGCAGGCATTCCTATTCCTGTTTCTTACAAATGTATTCCCAGACCCAGCCACATAAAGATCTGGGGCAGAACTAGTTTCTGTGCAGTGAAAAAAAGTTACTTTCATCAGCAACATCTCTAGGTCTTAATTACAAGAGATGGCTAATTCAATAATTGGTGTGATAATAGCACAATAAAGTGCATCTAAGGACAGGAGAGAAATATCTGTTTCCCAGCCTCAGGTTTCCCTTGTAATCCTTAAGTGTGTGGGGAGTGTAGGGGGTTAGAGGAATTTGTAAGGGAGAATCAGCAAATGCTTCTCCCCTGCCATTTTAATCATTTCCTCAACCTACCTGGGGTCAGAAGCTGGAAGTACACTTGAAAAATGGTTGGGTGGTGGTGGTGCAGGGAGCTGGGTGGTTATGCACAACTCCCCTCTGCTAATTACCATGTTCCCTCTAAGTTCAACAGTGTGAGCAGAAATTCTACCTCATGAGTGAAAAAGCTAGTACCATTAAAGACGTGATGAGTGTACATTTGACTATAGTGTAGTTTTTAAATGATTACTTCCATAACCTTGTAGAAATCTCATAATAAATTCTTTTAAATTATATTTAAACTATATTTTAACAATAATTTAAACATTATAAGAGAAAACAGAATCAAGTCAAATTTCATCCACCCCTTTCCACGATACTGGTAGACCTGTCTTCCTGAGAACCATAGTGGTAATCTGGCCTCTGGAGAACAGGTCTACCTGCCCCAGTCCACTGTATTGGTAGACCTGGCCTTGGACCATCACCCTGTGCTGAGCCTTAGAAAATATACCAGCACTTTGTGGGGGAGAAACTCTTGCAGTCTACTTGGGGTTTTTTAGTGAAATATGACAACCAGCATTACAGGTCAAGAGGAACAACCACTGTCAGAACCCTGCCTAACCTAAAAAACAGGAAATTGCTTAAATGTTATCTACCTGCCCAAACTACTTATTTATTCAAATGTTTAAATCCCACTTTTCCCTGTGACTCAAGACAGCTTACAGACCATACTGAAAAGACGTGTGCAAAAAAAAGTTTCCCCCCCCCAGCCCCATTGTAGCCTATGGGGACCATTATTGTCAATGGGCCCCATAGGCTTAAATGGAGAATCGATCTGGGGGTATCTGGGGCTCCGGAAGGGCTGTTTTTTGAGGCAGAGGCACCAGATTTGCAGCATAGCTGCTGGTGCCTCTCCTCAACACCCCAGAGTTTCAAAAAGATTGGACCAGGGGGTCCAATTCTTTTTTTATATATAATTTGTTTTTATGAGTTTTAACATTTATAGACAATCATACATAACACGTATTTCCATACAATTCGAGTCTGTCTTATAACTTCTCTTTAATCCATTTACGTACCCTTGACCATCTTTTCTGATGTACCTCATCATCTTTGCCTTGCATTATAACATTTACTTTATCCAGTTCTGCTAATGTTAACAATTTATTAACTCATTTCCGTTCGGAGTTTGGTCAGACTTCCAATATTTTGCCCATAAAATTCTAGCAGATGTTACAATCATTATTATTAAATATTTATCACCATACTTAATCTTCTCAGGTAACATATTTAACAAATAATATTCTGGCTCTAATTCTAAATTTATATTGATAATTTCAAAAATTACCTTCTGAATCTTACGCCAATATTTTTGAACTTTATGACAATTCCACCACATGTGATAATATGAACCAACCATTCTTTTACATTTCCAGCATTTATTTGCATTATTTTTATAACATTTTGATATTTTTACAGGTGTCCAGTGCCATCTACAGAACATTTTGAGAATCTTTTCTTTATAGGTTGTGGCTCTCATAAGCTTAGATGTTTTCCAGATTTTCGACCAGGCATCTGTGTCTAAATTATGGCCTATATCTGTCATCCATGAAATCATAGACAGTTTAATTGTCTCGTCTAACATATAATCCTCTAATAAATTATATACTTTTTGAATCAATTTATCACTGGATGAGAGCCATATCATGTCTAGTTTATTCTTTTTAGTTTCAAAACCGTAGGCAGCATCTTTAGCATATCTAGATTTTAGTTATAAATGTTGCCACCATGATAATTGGGTATTTTGTTTTAGCAATTTTTCCTCTGTTTTTAATTCATTATTCTTTTTTAATAATAATTCGTAACACTCTCTACTATTTGATATAGCAAATGATGGTTTAGTAAAGACTTCTAAAGGTGAAACCCAGAGGGGAATTTTCCTGTAATATCTCACTTTTATATTGTCCCATGTTTTAACTAGTGCTCCTCTCAATATATGGTTATGGAAGTTAGAATGAATTTTATCTTTCCCATACCAAATATATGCATGCCATCCCATATATAGATCATGCCTCTCTAATTTTAATGTCCTAGTATTTTCCAGTTTTATCCATTCTTTGATCCAACATAGTGAGGCTGCTTGGTAGTATAACTTCCAATTAGGGGCACCAACCCCCCCCTCTTTTTTGTCTTCTAATAGTTTCCATCTTATTTTGGGTTTTTTTGCCTTCCAAATAAATTTTCTTGTATTCTATCCAATTCCGTATTTATTTTTTTAACCACTGGAATGTTTTGTGCAAGAAACAAAAATCTTGGAAGCACATTCATTTTCACGGTAGCTATGCGTCCCATTAATGACAGTTGTAAATTGTTCCATTTATTCAAGTTAGTCTTAATGTCCAGGAGTAATTTATCTTCTAATAAATTACTGTTCCTATTAGATATCATAATTCCCAGATATCTAACCTTTTTAACTATTTCCATTGGTGAAATTTTTTGTATCTGATCTATCATTTCTGCCGAGCAATTTTTAGTTAGTAATTTAGTTTTCTTATAGTTAATTTTCAGACCAGCTATAGATCCATATTCCTGAATTACCCTTATTAGTTGTGTATAGGAGTCTTTAGGATTTTCCATAATAAATGCAAGATCATCTGTAAACGCTAACAATTTATATTCTTTGCCTTTTAATTTGATGCCTTGTATTTTATTATCTTCTCTCACTTGTTCATTTAAAGTCTCTAATGCAAAAATAAATAATAGTGGTGAGAGGGGGCATCCCTGTCTTGTTCCTTTTTGAATTTTAATCCTATGTATCATGTCACCATTTACAGCAATTTGCGCACATTGCTCTTTGTAGATTGCTCTGACCATTGCCTGAAAGTCTTTTCCACAATCCCATTTTTCTAGTTTTTGTATAAGGAATTCCCAAGATAAATTATCGAAGGCTTTTTCTGCATCTAGAAACATTAATAGTAGTTGTTTTTCAGGATGAGTCTCGTAGTATTCTAGAACATTAATAATAGTTCTTATATTATCTTTCATATATCTTTTAGGTAAAAAGCCAGTCTGATCAGGATGGATAATTTGGCTCAAAAATTTCTTCAATCTGGTTGCTAGAATACTCACAAATATTTTGTAATCCGTATTTAAAAGGGAAATAGCTCTATAATTTTGAATTTGGTTCCCTTCTGAATTAGGCTTAGATATTAATGTAATAATTGCCTGATTCCATGACTCTGGTAATCTGCCTACTTTACTAACATTTTGTAGAGTTTTCTTTTGGGAAGGTGTTATTTGTTCTTCAAATTTTTGATAGAATTCTATTGGTAAACCGTCCGGACCTGGCATTTTCTTTTTCTTTTGCCTTTGAATTGCCTCTACAATTTCACACATCGTAATAGGGTCATTCAGGATTTGTTTCTGATTTTCGTTGAATTTGCTCTCTATCTTCTTTTTGTTGATATAGATTTTTATAAAAAATTTCTACAATAATTTTCGTATCTTGTATTTTATATTTTATTTCATCTTTATCATTTTTCAGAGCCTTAATTGTCCTCTTTTCTTTTTCTTTCCTGATTCTATAAGATAGCCATCTTGATAGTTTATTTGCATTTTCAAAATAGTAAAATTTAGTAAATTCTATATTCTTGGCTATTTCTTGAGATAAAAGTAAGTTCATTTTATGATGTAATAGTTTAAACTTAATTTTAGACTCTTCAATATTTGTATTGTTTTTCATCTTATCTTCTTCTGCTTTAATTTGATTCCTTAATTGTTCATGCATTTTTCTTTTCTGTTTTCTTTTCCAAGCCTCTTGATTAATAAATCTTCCCCTAATAAAGGCCTTAAACGCAGCCCATACTGTGTAGATTGGGATGTCTGGCTGTATATTTCTTTTTAAAAATTCTATTATTTCTATTTTAGTATCTTTTATAAACTTTTCATCCCTAAGTATCTCAATATTCAATTTCCATCTGGGTTTCTTTCACACTTCTTTAAACGCCAGAAATATAGGATTATGATCCGCATAGGTATTGGGTAGAATTTCTGCCTCTAACAAATCTACTACCATTGTCATTGTAATCCACGCCATATCTATTCTAGACCAGGAATTGTGTCTTGAGGAGTAGAAAGTATAGTCTTTCTTGGTGATATTCTTGGTCCTTCATGCGTCTATCAGACTGTATTCTTCTGCCATCTGAAGAAATGCTTTGGTAAGAATCGTTCCTGATCTTTTAGTGTTCTTGCTAGTCTTGCTGTCCAGTTCTTTATCCAATACAGCATTATAGTTTCCTATAATGCAAATATTCTCACAATCATTTAACAATAGTACCTTCCTAATTTCTTTCAAAAAGGAATCCTGGTTTTGATTTGGTGCATAAATATTTATAATTAGGGATTCTGTTCCTTGTCTGGTTATAACTATAGCAACAATTCTTCCATCATTTGAGGCATAAATTAGCTCTGGATGTAGCTGTTCCTTGGCTTATATTATTACTCCTCTTTTTTTTTCCCGTCAGAGGCAATAAAGGCTGTACCTAATCTTTTATTTTCAAGATATTTTATT